TTGTAGAGAATTGAAATAATTTTTTCAAATTTCTTAAGGAATTAAAATAGCCTTGTAAAAAATTCCTTTTTGAGGGCGTGGCCGCCGCTTCTGCATTTGCCTACAATTCAAATTATGTGCATGGGATGCATCGTGATACATGATTTATTTCATAGCAATTGGAAAACTTTATAGAATGCACCCTCTCAAACTTGCAGTCTGGGCATACTATCTCAGGAGAGATCGCAAAAAAAACTGCTAATTTCAGACCTCCTCTGTTCAAACAGGACGTGGTGGTTTTTTTTAACGGCGGTCTCCTAAAACTTGCCCCATTAATATTTTTGGAACTTCAGCTTCGAGAAATAACCTGAACTGGTTTTTGTAGCAGCACTGCGAAAAACATCTAGCGTACGATAGTGCTCGCCTTCATATCAGGTTGTCTCATTAAAGTCTCTGACACTTAAACCTCAAGACTGATATTTTTCAAGAGCTAGGGCGCTATAGTGAAAATTACCGGCTCTGTTCAGTGAGTAGCTACTAGGTTGTTCCACAAGTTTTTTCATACCTAGGTTTTCAGCGACATAAATCAGTTCTTCCTGAACTTTCAATAGAAAGTGGTTTACCGTTCGCCAGATCAAAGCAAACTCTTCAAGTTGGTCAAAAGTTCGCACGTTAGTTCAAAAGCTTAATTCGCAAAAGTTCCAAGCCAAAACAAAAAAATACCCGAATTTCAATTAACAAAAAATAATGCGCTCAACTTTCAAACTTTGATTGAATCAGTTCTCGAAAATAGGTGGTAATAGAGTAAGTGATATTATACAGGGTGCGCCAAAATTACCGGCGCCAACTTTACAAACACTGCCACCAAAAAACCATTGAAAGAAACCAGCTCAAATCTGTGCCATAAAAGGCGCTAATCAATCTCTACAAAATACATTGTATTGAATTCAAAAAGACCTCTTTTTAAGAATTCAAGAATTAAAAGAATCAAACCAGTATTTACAAGAAAGGCAAAAATGAAAATTTTATATCTTCATAATTTGCTCTGTAACTGAATGAAATCAAAGCTTTTCTAGACCACTCCAATCTGTGATTGTAGAGCACGATTTGCACAATCACACAGGTTTAGCTAAATTTGCAGAATTTGTTCCTTCATTGAAATAAGAAAATGTATTTGCGGAAAATACCGGCGTACGAGCAATGAGATTATGTTGAAAATCGATTATTAGGCCCCAGATATGCAAAAAACAGAGTCCTATGTGAGACATGTAGAAGAGCATCTACATAGAAGCGACTAGTTGAGATAGTTCTGAATCTGATTTAGAAGACATTTTTTAATCCTAAGGCGCACTCATGAAGGCCAAAATCACGCCAATTTTCGGTATGCCGCCTCTCAACCATGTCTTTGAATAATCAAAAATTCTCTTCGAGTTGAATTTAAAATTTCCATACCAGACTGCATCAGAGATGAAGGCTTGCTCTATTTTCCGGTGCAATTACAAAGCAGGAAAAAATGTCGTTAAAAAGATATTAAACAATTCCTCAAAGCCATGCTTGCGTACAGAGCACCTTCGGTCGGCGAGAGAAACTGAGATTTTTTCGAGAAATAAAGCAGCCAAATTCTGATTTCATTATTGCATTACGATAATGATGGTTGGTGAAAACAAGCGCATACATCGCTCCTCAAGCCCGTCTAGTATCCTTCTGGCACTCAAGGAAACACGCGCCGGTAATTTTGGCGCACCCTGTATAGCTTATTCACTCAGAAGTACTGCCACAAATTTGCAGCCCACTGGGTGCCCCCAGTTTTTGAGGAAAAGTCGAATTGAAGGTCCGATTATGAACAGACTTATGGGACAACCTAGTACATACAAAAACCATGTTAAGTAGATGTCCACAATGCATCTGAGGTACTCGATATTGCACAAACAACTTTTGCTAAACTTAGCTTTAGCAGCACATGATTTATTCACACAAAAAATAAAAGGCATCAAAAAACGCGTTTTCGTAATCCACTTGTCAAATTTGCGGGTGACCTGCGGCAATCTGCAGGAACAAACGATCGCTGCACTATTTTCTTCGGTTCGTGATATACACTGTACCGTGCTTTGAAAACACACCGAAAAAAGCTATGGCTGCGAAAACGTGTGTTTTCTGAGCAACTTTGAAGCGATTGATGAAAATCAATAAGTAAAAATATTTGCAGTTATTAAAGGAATCTGGAAAAAATGGAGCTAATGGCAGTAGTTAGTACTCTTGGTGCAAATTCTTCAAAACGAAAACATAGTCCGAGGGCATGATAAGACGGGTTCATCTCAAAGCTGATTCCCCTTGTCGAAACTATATGTCTTGAATATGGATGTGTTTTTGCAATACAAATACCTTCAAAAACAAACTTTTGGTTATGTTTTTCATGCCTCACCTCCTTTCGCACAGTTTTACATGTCTAGAGTTTCTTTCCTCCTCCAAAGCTTTTTTACGTAAAAGATTTGATATGCAGTAAGCAGTGCGGACCTAGGGGAGGGGTGGGGAGTCGCGAAATTTTTGAAAATTACTTATATGGACTATAAAAATGTTCAAATGACTTGTTCAATCTTGTAGATAATTGAAATGATTTTTTCAAATTTTTTAAATCAAAATAGCCTTGTAAAAAATTCCTTTTTGAGGGCGTGGCTGTCGTGGCTTCTGAATTTGCCTACGATTCAAATTATGTGCAGATGGATGCATCGTAATGTATGATTCATTTCGTAAAAACATAGCAATTGGAGAACTTTATAGAATGCACCCTCTCAAACTTGCAGTCTGGGCATACTATCTCGGGAAGATCGCAAAAAAGTGCTAATTTTAGACCCCCTATGTTCACACAGGACTTGGTGGTTTGTTTCACTGCGGTTTTCCAAAGCTTGTCCCCATTAGTATTTTTGGAAGTTCAACTTCGAAGAGATAACTGGTTTTTGTACCACTACAGCGAAAATATCTAGCGTACGATTATGATCGCCTTTATATTAGATTGTCTCATAAATGTTTCTAATATTAGAACCTCAAGATATTTTTCGAAAGCTAAGACGCTTTCGAGGGTGCAAAATATGCTCTGTTCCATGACTAAGCTATACTATTAGGTTGTGACATAAGTCTTGTTACACTTAACTTCTAACGGCGATAAGTCATACACCTCATAGTCTTTGCAGGACTTCAGGGTACCAACCGATAGAGCAAAGCAAGCTCTACAAAATGGTCTGCAAAATTTCGCACCAGCTCCGACCCACCGTAAGTTTGCAGCCAAAATGTGAGTCGTACTGAAATTCAAAAAATCGCGAAAAATTCATATCTTTGTTTAAACAAATCCTACGGATCTCCAACTTGCTCATAAAAATTGCCCACTATATCAAACACTCATATGTACCGTTGCTGTACTTTTTCCTTATCTAGAAATCGAGAAAAAGAATTTTTTTTAGTTTTTACAAAAACGAAGCTATGCTGTTTCTTTTTATGTAGTTGTATACTACAATCCCTTAGAAGTATAACCGTAAATTTTCAGCTTCCCAGAAGCCCTAGTTTTCGAGAAATGCCAAATTTGGCTTTTATCACTCGGGTGTTCAATGCTAAATTAGGTATTTCTCGAAAACTAGGGCTTCTGGGAAGCTGAAAATTTACGGTTATACTTCTAAGGGATTGTAGTATACAACTGCATAAAAAGAAACAGCATAGCTTCGTTTTTGTAAAAACTAAAAAAATTCTTTTTCTCGATTTCTAGATAAGGAAAAAGTACAGCAACGGTACATATGAGTGTTTGATATAGTGGGCAATTTTTATGAGCAAGTTGGAGATCCGTAGGATTTGTTTAAACAAAGATATGAATTTTTCGCGATTTTTTGAATTTCAGTACGACTCACATTTTGGCTGCAAACTTACGGTGGGTCGGAGCTGGTGCGAAATTTTGCAGACCATTTTGTAGAGCTTGCTTTGCTCTATCGGTTGGTACCCTGAAGTCCTGCAAAGACTATGAGGTGTATGACTTATCGCCGTTAGAAGTTAAATGTAACAAGACTTATGTCACAACCTAATATATAGTCACATGTAGTATGGGGGAGGAACACAAAATTTGAGCTAGTCAATTTTCGAATTTTCTCAATTTTCAGCCATAAAAAAATACGGGAAGAGTGTTTATGACTGCTTAATTTGATAAGTTTATTCCAGTGGGAGACTCGCAGGTTTTTCTGAGATGAGATACTTCCTCAGTTTCTTGAAATCTTTAGGTTTTGGCTTCAGACTTAGGTTTGGAGCAATGATGTAAATGAGAGACTTGTAGAACTTTACTCTACCCTATCGTATGGTACTCCTAAAGCTTCATGCCCTTCAAATATAAATTGACTATACAAACTTTTTACCGCATGACCACTAGTTCGGATTGAAACATTTCATTGGACGAGTTTGTCAAATGTATAAAATTTTGTAAAACCTTCATAAAGCGTTAAAAGATGACAAATGGCCTGCAGTTTATTAGTCTTGTCTCAACTTTCGTTTTATGCACCTTTTGTGACAAATAAAATTCAATTTTCCAGGACAATTTCTTCTTTGTGTAGGCTGACAATTCTACGAACTTTGATTTTGATCATAGGGTTTTTCTCAGAAGTCTTACAGCAAGGTGGTCATAACACACACAGGTATAATTGTAATTTTTTCTAAGTTAGTTGTTCTCCCCCTTTCATGCGGTAAGTTTCGGGTAACATCCTTGTTTTTAGACAATCATAACCATAATTTCCGTCAAACCGTTACTGCCAGGTTCCACTTCCAACGAACGTCATTAATGGCCAGTTCTATATCGCCTAAACTTCTCCTGGCGCACGAACGACCAAACAATCAGGCTGGGGCCACATTTGGCTCTAGGCCTCCTCCGAAACAAAAGCAGTGGCAGCGAAAGTGAGGGCACGATGGATGGCACGCAAAAATCGTCGTCACGATCGTCGTAACGAACGCGCCACGCCCCGTGGCGACACGCCTACGCTCGTCTACGCTTTTCTGATCACTCGACATGCGACGTCTGCTAGCTGTACTTGTTGTCGTGTATGTTCCAGCCATAAGAAAACTCGTTCACACCGTGTTGCGCGAGATGTTTCGGATTTACAGGTTGCCGCTAGCGTCGTCGACTGGCAAGACACCCCGATTTGATCTCAACCGCTACCATGACTTCCCCGAGTTCGAGAGGTACATCCGCGGGGTGGCAGTGATGAACCCCGATATTGTGTCATTACGAATGATCGGATATAGCCACGAGAATCGTCCTTTATTGGGACTAAAGGTAAACGTCGAAAATTCCTCCTCATAAGTTCACATTTTTTTGGGATGGGAAATGCCATACATTTTTTCTACATTTTTCTTGATAGAGAAAACATTGAACGCTTTGACTGTTTTATTAGTTCAAATAGAATAAAAACTGACTTTGGCTAGTTATTTCGGTCTGAGAGTATTTCGGCCTTGAATCCATAGCTGCTAAGCACAGTCGAATTGAATTCTTTTGACAATATGTGCAATTGCACATTTTTTGTGCGCAGCTCCCAGACATTGTTTTCGTGTTTTTTTTTAGTTTTTCGGCTCCTAGCTGGGGTTGCAAAAGCTTTATTTATTTCACACACTTCTCACTTAACGAGTATTATCGCTATTATCCTAAAATTGTGCAATTGCACACATGCAAAATATCCCCTTTCATATAATAGAGGACCATCCAAAAGAGACAATATCTATCATATACTCTACTTATCTTTCCAACTTATTTTGATTTCTAGACTTCATAACTCTTGTTCTTTTTTTTCAAAATCATAAGAATTTTCTGTATCTGCTGCTACCATATTTTTTGGTATTCTCGTTTTGGAATACATATTCCTATTTCGCAAATCATTCTACTTTGCTTCCTTCCCTATTCCCATCTCCATTCCTAGCTTTCTACAACTTTTTTCCCATAATTTTATTGATTACGATCGTTTCACAACTGGCAAATTTTTGCGAATATTTACACATAGAAATATTTCTTGTGATAGAGTTGAGAAACTTACAAAAAGTTGTACATAACCCGGTTTATGTAGCGTGTGACCGCATGTGAAATGTGCGAAAATCCATGAACTAAAGACTGTAGCATTTGCCTTTTGATTTTAAAGCTATGGGAAAAAGAGCGATAGAGTTTAACGAGTGCGAATCCGGTGCGATCGAATGATTGATGGTTACCGATGAAACAGGCATGGCAAGCTGCGTAACTGATTGTAGCGGATCGAATTGCGTTTATGAAACTTGGAACGGTTTCAATGCCAGCTGTAAGCTCTTTTTTGTCTACGACTATTTGGAGTAGTTTTAAGATGTTTTTTGCCCCGTGGTTAATGACCTTTTCATTTGAACTTTTCAAGTGTAAAAAATGCAATCGTTCTCTATGGTTCTTACAATTAGTGCACAACATTATCGTAACGTCTCGAAAATCAGCGGACAACAAAGAAACAGCAAAAACTGGTTTGTGTCGCCGCAGCTATGCCATATCAGACATGCCAAGGTCATGCTTCTTGCACTTTACACATTTTTTCCATAGCGATTTGTCTCAAAATTCTTCATTGATATTCTCGGCCAGAAAAAAAATGAATCAATGCGTGATTGATTTCTTATTGGAGAATTGCACCTTCGCAACACAATTAGGCTTTTGCAAAGACAGATTTGACTACAGAAGAGGGAAATTTTCTGGATTAGAAAGAATTGTAATTATGCGGCTCGATTATTATTTTCTCAAAATAGAAAATTTTTAAATCTGCGTATGCTTACTCATTTTATAAAAAATAATAGTTGTAATTCACCGGTTAATGTATGATAGACAGTGTGTGATCACACTGTGTAGCGGTGGCGGTCCGAGGGGGGGGGGCATTTTTTGCAATTCACTTATATGTGTTATAAAAATGTGCAAGTGACCTGTTTATCTTTGAGTTGATTGAAATGATCTTTAAAATTTTTCAAAAATCCAAACTAGCTCCAAACTAACTCCCTGTAAAAAATTCTTTCGGCAGCGTGACTGGCGCCACGCCCCCTTTTTCTCGCTTTTGGAGGGTATAGAGTTGCAATAAATTTGAGAATTATCCCGAAATTTTTTCGGAGTGCGTGGCTAACGCCCGCTTCACTCAAAAAATCTTTTTGCTTCCCCCCCCCCCCTCCCGAACAGAAATCCCTGGACCACCACCGTGTCTAGAAGTGTATTTATTAATGTTGACTCTATGAATAACTCCTCATTGGTCAACTAATAAAATAATTAAGGTGTAAAAATAACTTCGACAATCACATTTTGAAGTAACAGCTATGCACTCCAGATTCTTGATAGTAATTCTTCATACCTGAGGTTTTGGAGTGATAAACTGCTCACAAATTTTTCAGGTGAAGTTGCGCATAAAAAACAGTACAAAAATCACAATGAAAACGAGATATAATTAGAGATTATGATATTGCTTTTGAATGTCAGTTACCAGTCCCAAATTTATTTTAGATTGGACGTGCAACAAATTATACAAAACCAGCTGTTTGGCTTGACGGAGGTAATCATGCTCGAGAATGGCCTGCATTCCATGTGGCGGTGTATTTTATTGAACAAGTAAGTGATTTATGATATTGCTTATTGCTTTAAGCCTAATTTATCTTCAACCGATGATTTCTGTGCTAATGTTCACCGAAGTCAAGTTTCCCAAAATTTCTTTTGTGGAAATCGATCAAGAGATCTTGATTGAGCCAATGCCCATGCTACCCATGATTTACTTGTGTTCGAGAAATTTATTCTATAAACTCTCTTCTTTTTTGATACTGTATTGAAGGACAATAACTGATTTAGTCGAAAGGGTGTGGGGCAAGAGTTGAAGTTATATCGTCGGAAACGCACATGAAATGCCTTTTGAGTAGCATCTTACTTACAATTAGTCAGAGCCTTCTAAATAATTTCCACATAGAAAACCAAGCACAAAGTTTCCTGGACACTGCCACGCAAGCGGTGATGAATGACCAGAAGACTTGTGAAAAAATTGCGTTAATTCGCCTATTTGCCTAATAATATAAGTCATCACATAAAACGCGCATCAGTAAAATGAATGTATCATTGTTCCGGTTCCAAAATCAACAGTAGAGAATTATCTTGTAGTAAAAAAAACGAATTGCTCTCTTTCGTGTTTTTTTTGTTAGTCAAATAAAACCTCAATAAGATTCTAATCCGTTCTTATGTGTTTGTTTAGCTCGTCAATAACTACCGGGTAGATGAGAAAATTACCGCTTACCTCAATCTGCTGGACATCTACGTGTTTCCTGTTCTGAATCCTGATGGTTTCATATTTTCTCGCTCATCGACGAGGGCCACGGTAAGATTTCAAAAATTTGTTGTCTGGAGCACAAGGATTGAAAAGTTAAAGTTAACCTTCGGCGATAAAGCAAAAACCCTGCGAAAATGTTCACTCGTTCACCATTTCATACTTGATTTTCGAATTGTTTTCTTTTTTGTTGTTGTTGTTGTGCATTCCTGACAGCCCCCTACCCTACCCCACCGTCACTCTATGATAGTAATGTAAGTGTGACCCGGACCGGATACAACGTCTCGCCACAGTGGTGATTGATAATGAGAAATTGCAAAACGAAGAAATTGCGCTGCGTAAACAGGACTGGAATTTCAATCATTTTTTGCGTATCACTCGCCGAAGCAAATTCAACTTTTTGCACATGAGAGACGCATGGCAAGCTCCGGTGAAAGCTACGATAATTACATAGTGAATGCTGCTTTCATTTGGGAGACAACTAGCCATTTTGTTTCGCCACTATTAGCTTTAGTAGTTCTAAGTCCATAATTGCTGCTTTTTCTGAGAGTCTTCTTTTTGCAGATTCGACAATGGCGCAAAAACCGTGCGCCGTCAAATTGCAGTGGCTGGACGGTGCTGTCGAAAGACGTCTGCTGTGAGGGTGTGGATCTGAACAGAAATTATGACATGGAGTACGTTTAACTAATTATCAAGCTTCTACCTTCCTACAAAATTAAGGAACATATTTTAAACGAGTTTGATTCGGAAACTTTTAAAGACCGAAATGCCAACTCAATTTGTTTTGCGCAAATTGAATTCTTGTCTAACAAAACGTCTTGGCAAAGATGTTGCGCATATTTTAGCTTATTTCTACAACTTACCCCAAAATGCTGACTCGTTTTCTTTTTCGTAAACTGTATTCTTGTTCAGCAAAATCTTTGTAGACTAAGAATATTCACAACATTCAAGTCATTAAAAACAGCAATCATTCAGACAAATTTCGAGCAATTGTGGGTGAAACTTGAATCCAAACTTTCGCCCACTACCGTATTTTTTCCGAGCGGGTGTGTTTGTTTTTGCGTCTTCAGTACCCATTTCGACCAATTTGTCTGATTTTTTTCATGGTTTTCTGGTTTCATTTGCTCAATTTTATGCAAAAGAGTCAAACCCGCCCTTTTTTCTCCAAGATAATTGCTATTGTCAAATTCTTGAATATAAAAAGTGAACGGAGATACAAGTTTTAAGACAACGTCAATGATTATCCACCGCCATCACTAATGATATCATCTGTTGACTTCTGTTTTTTAGATTTTCGCAGGACAACTATCCATTCAATAACCCGTGTTCAGACGAGTTTCAAGGTCCATTCCCATTCAGCGAGCCAGAAACGAGGTTGGTCGATCCTTTTGTTATATTATACATATAACCTAATTCTCAAGCACTTTAGGGCAGTACGTGACTTTATAACGTCAAAAGAAGTATTTGGCCGCTTGCATGCATTGGTTTCCATGCATACTCATGGGCAACTTTGGATACTTCCCTATAATTATCACAAACGGACGTACCCGGAAGATTTTAAAGACTTGGTGCGTTAAAATCATCATAATGGACCGCTAAAACAATGATTATGGAAATTTTCTATTTGCAGGAACGACTGGCCAAAAAAGCAGCAGATAGGGTGTATGCCTATCGAGAAACGAAGTATCGTGTCGGCACTGCCGCAGATATGCTAGGTATTTTGGCTACTGACCATAAAAGCTGGACAAGAACTGCTTTTCTAGGAACTGCAACGGGTGGTGCAACCGACTGGATCAAGAAGAACACTCCGACCAAATACGTTTATGTGCTGGAACTGCCACCTGATATGTCCAGTGAGTAGCTGCTTTTTTGAGTCATAAAATCTAGCAACGCTAATCATCATCATATCTGTCTCTATGGAGACAGAACCTCTTCGCATTATAACTTTTGTAGCCAATTTTGAATGGACATGCTGGTAGAGCTAATGACCATCTTGTAAGGGAGCAAATACGCTCTTCAAAGTTTATAAAAATTCCAAGCAGCAAACTTCAGTTCTTTGAAAGAATGGAACCTTAACTTGATCAAACAATTTTATCACAAATCGACAACATTTTCGCAACGATGCTTATTTCTTAATGCAGTATCTTGCCCGTGAGTGCGATCTGTGGTATACAGTAATTTCCTGAATATGGTGTAAAATGGCAGTTTTGAAAATTCCTCAAAAGGAGCTTGTGTATGATTGTTCCAGCTGTTATAAAATTTCGTATATGGCATACGCGATGGTCATAGATCTTTTACAAAAGGAATAAGAATCACTCACTCAAGCATCTTAACCTTCCAGTAAATGTGGCAATATACCAAAATGTGCTCCTTTTTTGCTTGTGGCAACACTTAGGAACTAGTACAGTAGGACTCTGATTCGTGAAAACCCGTATAGAGCAGAGTGGAAATCTAGTAAGTCTTGTTTTAATGTAGCTTGAGCCTTGCCACCTAGAATAGTTTTTGAGCAACATTAGATTACAAACATAATTGCAAGTATTCATATAGCCTCTATATACTCATATTCATATTCATACATGTATTCATCAATGGCGGTATATGGGTTATAAAAATGTGGAAGTGACTTGTTCATACTTGTAAATAATTAAAATAATTTTTAAAATCTTTTGAAAATTAACCTTTTAAAAAAATTTTTTGGAACGTGGCTGCCGCCAAGCCTCCTCTTCCTGATACATATCTTAAGGACATGGTTCCACAATTTTGGGAAGGATCTTAAAAGTTTTTTCGGGATGCGTGGATAACGTCACGCACCTTCGTTCAGAAAAAATTTGTTTCCCCCCCCCCGGGTCCGAAATCCTGGGACCGTCACTGGTATGCATATGTAGAATCCATTTCTTTAAATTACAGTTTTCTATATCTGGATATATTCCTTTGGGGTGTGAGGAATTTCAAAAAGATTCTGTGAGATTGTTGGAAATAAGTGAGCAGTCTATTTCCAATTAGCCCGAAAGGTTGAGCAAATACCCTCAATAATTCATTTTTCTCTGTCATAATTGCTCATTTCAAGTTTCCATATGTTATCAATCTCGCACCGACTTTACTTGCTTTACTTTTGTGTTCAAACAGCAAATAATCGCTTTTCCAGCTTGGTTCGCTTTCCAAATCCGACCTCATTGGTTGGTTCCAATTAGCAAAGAAACGTGGATCGGAATACAGGTGAGGCAGTTCTTTTAAAGATATCAGCCTGCACGACTTTTTCACGCTCTGGCTATCGATCATTCATTTAGGTAGTTATCGACCAGGTTATTGAAGAAACAATCACTGAACCAATGCGCAAAGCCTCCTTGGCTAGAGCTGCTCATTAGATCTCCATTCTACTGCTTTTACTTCAACAGTTAGCTGCAGTTGCGTCTCATTCCGGCCGTCGTTTTGTTTTCTCCACCTGTCCCATATATGCTTTCTTCTAAGCTTGTGCATCTTCGCAACAATGGCGATTCATTTTCGAACGGATGTACTCTCTAATGTTGCCGTAGTCTACCTATTATCCAAGATAATAGAGCGCAAAACCAGTCCGAAATTGGACACTATAGCCAATCAGCTCAATCACACTTTATAAGAGAATCGCTGCAACATACGGGTACAAACGAGAACTTCTCTAGGGTTTGGATATCATTTAGGAGAATGAGACAATGGGAACGTAACACAGAGCACCTTATAATTTTGTCGTGAATTTTGTGAGTTTTCAACGCTTTATTCAAACAAGAGAGATGTTATATATCTCCAGTTTGTAACTTCTGTTCTGTAATGTATCCTACCTCTAGCAGCTCTTTCTCATTTTCCTTTTCTTTTCTCCATTTCTTTCTAGAAACTTTCCAACTTCAGAAGAAAGACATGTTTATTGAGAATGATGTCTGTAAACGCATACTTTGTAAATGGCAGACAAACGGGTTTCATTCCCTCAACTTTTCTTTTCGCATCCTTGTGTTATCTTTCTTTGTTTGAATCTTGTTATGTAAATAAAGGCTTGTAAGAACCAATCAATGTTGCATTGTTATTACATTACGACCAGTTAAGGCGTTTTTCAAGAATGGGAGAAGGTGAGGTGAAAGCAGACAAGGAGCTAGGATGAAATCTTTTGAAAAGTTTGTGAGTGCAAAAGCATGAATTGGGTCATTAAGCACTGTAATAGTTCGCTGCAAAAGTAATGGGTGTATCTTCTGCAACACATTGGAAATGGAAATCACAGTGGGCACTATTCGATAGACAGAGCCTGCTACAAAATGAGTACCAGATAATCGCGTAAATCGTAATTCGCATGAAAAAAAAACATCCAATAAGTCTGAAATATAAAAAAAACCGAAATCTAGTACACTTAGCGCTTCAAAGATTGGGTTCTAATTCAGAATAATTCTGAAAATCTCCTTGGTCAGCATGACATTTGATGGACACAAGCATCCCTTTATGCCTCGCTGTTTACAAGGCTGCAGGTTGTGAAAAATGTCTGAAAATTGTCAAAAACGACGCTCGCTAATATCACAAATATTATACTTATACTCTACAAAACTTTACAGGTAAAACATCAAAATCTTATCCTATGTGCCTCCCTTCGAAAAATTCACACCTAACAAAAAAAATCGAAGAAGATGATATTCCTATTTATATCGTATTTTTTTACTAACTTCGAAAAAATTCTAGTGACAACGCCAGGGTCTGCTACATGATGACCAAGTGAGAGGCAAGATTTTTTGGCTCAGATCCCATTTTTGGGTCATTTGTTTACTTTCTGATATTGGACTCCGACGAAATAGTTGATCACTTCTGAGCACTCCTAGTAGCTCGATTGTAAGACTTGCTTACCCCTTCAAACTTCGAACTACTCATGAATTTTCACTATCACATTGCTGCTGTCGCCTGAGGAATACTACTACTACTACTGTCATTTCTTTTGCATCAACTCAATGAATACTTTGAGGACGAAAGTGTTCTGATTATTTTGAAAATTTATCGGTGCCTTTTATCAGTAAGCCTTCGGAGCATTTAGGGTGTATGCCAAGAGGCGCGATTTCTGTTGGCAGTTGTACACCAAATATGCAGCATAGAATTTGTGTTTTGCAATTTTGATGCATTCGATAGTGTAAGGATAGACAGTTGGTAGCCACATAGGTTGTTCAGTCTCATTGTCACAAAATAAATTCAAAGCCTAGATGTCAAAGGTCAAAAACTCTTGAAAATGCAACTAATATCAAATTTGCATATATTTCGCTTAGATTTATATCAGACTCTCAAATTCGCCATTGGTACCTTCAAAGAGTTAGTAAACCGAAGCACTGTTTAGTATTCTTTTGAAGGCTTAATAGTAAACTGGGCTTTTGAGTTCATGATCTACTTAGAAATCGCGCCTAACCGTAGCATGTATACTCCTCCACTTGAACGGGAAACAATTATTAATACCAGTTTGAGCCTTCCATTTCAGCAGTTTATCATGATTTGAGATGTGTTCACAGGTTAGAAGCAAGCGCTCCTGCCATAATTCTCAAGTGAATCCCAATATCATACTGAAATTTTGCTGAAGTATGAGTTTAAAACGATTCCAACGTTAGCCTCTGAAAGACTGTCAAATGCATGGATTTTTCCGTTTACAGGGAACTCAAAGCTTACATCGTGGTCTACATGTTTTCGGACAGTAGCGCACAAAATGTTTTACCTAATAAATGTTGGCGTCATCTGATTCAAGCTTTGACTGTGCCAAAATAACGAAATTGTGTTAGCAGCATTGAAACTCAATCAAAGACATTCAAACATACGTCTGATTCTCACATTATTTACGCACGATTTATCTGCTCTTGATGTATGAATGAACTGTTAAACAGTTCATGCATATGATCTATTAGTACGCAAGATTTTCATGCTTCGTCGCCCTTAGCCCTCCTCCTTGAAGTGGCCAGTCAAGCAATCGTGAAAGAAATTCTATTAGCGTTTGAGTGCATAGGCGGAAAAAGGGGTACAGATGATCACAATGCCTTAGCCTTTTTCATTTACTGTTCTCCTTGCTGCTATCGTTGCACTTATGGAAAATTTTCTCCATTTCTTTGCAAACAACAGACTATTGAGCTTCACACTTGAAAAGCAGTTCAAAAGACGAAGGCGAGCGTTTTTTAAGGCAGCTTCTCAAAAGATTTTCATATGTTACACTGCTATATCTGCAAGACTAAGTTTGTTTTTCTCAACTCTGAAGCAGCTTATGAAGATTCTAAGCAAGAAGCTTGAACATTGAAATGAAGCTCCATTGTCGAAACTAAAGAGCTCAATTAACTTGTTTGATCCTGGAACATTTTTTTTACTTATGAATTTTAAAAGCCAAAACCTAACGTCACTTTGTCTTTGTAAATTTAGCGTACGTCAATTCAAACAATCAGGTGTACGAACTCTAGAGATAAAAAAGTTTAAGGCAGTAGAACAGTTTGAATTAAAAAGATAAATCAACGATGACAGTAGCTTCGAAGTATTCGCACCCGTTGAATTGAACCTTCTGAAGAGGTTTGTATCCGAATGGTATAGAAGTGAAGAAACTATAGAAATAAAGAAATAATCTTTAGGAGCAAAAAACGCATTATTGCAACTATGATGTTAAGCATTTTCAAAGATTTTCTTTTTGTTTTCCATTGCTTATTTTTGGGAAGTGTACCTTTTGAAAATTGATGTTATTAAGCGCGATGTTGTGCGATTTCTTAATTAAACAATTGAGTTGAAATTGATTACATCAAAGTTCGCTCAAAGGCTCAAGTTCATATTTCCCAAGGTAGGTTGTCGTAATGTCACATATTAAACTGCCAAAAGTTCTGCATTGTTTGCTAAATACGATAGCATGGCTTACTAGAAGAAACAAATATGTATGATAGATTATTTTTGCAATCGAAGTATTATAGAAAACCGCGACTATTTTCAGGAAAACGCTGTTGGAAATGTGATAGAGGGACCTCAAGGATTGCGAAATATGTGAAAAGCTGAGGCGTGCCCTAAACAAACGACTTTCAGGTACTCCAAAGCTTGGATAAAAAATTGAGAATATGAAGATTCAACAAGCAAGGAATAATGCAAATTTTTATATGGTATGGACGCGCCAAACTGTTAAAAAGTCAAGCTTGTCAAACGATCTCGAATTTTTCTATCTCTTTCTGGTCACAGCTTTCGCATGGGCGTCCATTCAAACCCAAGAAAATGCCAATTATTTTAGGGTACAAAGTAGGTCTCTGCAAAAATAGTGTCCGTTTTGCAAAGTTTCACTTTAAAAGGTTACAACTTTACCCACTCTTCATATTTTCATATGCAATCAAAACCATCAAAAGCAGTAAACCTTTGGTATCTACCTATCGCGCTCCTGCATGTACTGATATCGCAAACGTGAAGAAAAGCATGTGCCAAAAAAGTGAAAGTTCTTTTTAAAAAAAACCTCGCTTTCAAAGATTACGACTCCCTTTGAGTTTTGTTCCTATGGCTGCTAAACAGCTTAATTTGTAGACGCACCAGATACGTTTGTAAAGGAACTTTAACAAAGGGGGCCTGCGAAAAGAAAAGGTAGAAATCCAAAATTGTTCACTTTTTCGAGCCTATTCTTAAGCCAAAAGGTCCAAATTATGAACATTTGGATTTCCTCAAGCACTAAGTAGCTAAGTTTTCTTCAAAAATTTAGGCAAGATGGTTGCTCTCAAACATATAGGAATGAGTGAATAATCAGTCGATTGCCTTGATTAGGAAATTTTTCGAACCTTAGAGTGCCATGCAACGAGTATCTAATTAGGTTGTCCCGAAAGTTTTGTCGGTTTTTTCAGACTACTGTAAAACCACGTACAATGAAGACGTGAGTGAGTTTCAACATGCATTCGATGCAGCTTTTCTTTCTCTTTCTTATGGATGCACTTTCATACCATAATGTTATATGCTTTCTTTGGTAATTGCCGAAATTCTCCACCTGTCAATTTTACCTGCTCAAAGTTGAGCTAATTTTTAAAAATTTCGTTACAAAGTTTCGAAAAAGATCAAGTATGGGTCAAATAGAGCAACTCTCGGTCTACAAGATGGTATTTTTAGATCCTCCTAATTTGCTGATTTTGACTTCAAAAAGTTATTTCTTCTGAGGTCTCGATTTTTGGCTAAGTCATGAAACGCACAATTGCAGCAAAAGCCTGAAAGCTTTTAAAGTTTTTGCAAATTCAAACTTGATTGTTGTTAAACATCATTTATGCAACATGACCAAGTTAGATTTGCTTCAAAAATCAGCTTTTTGGAATTTTTGTTGATTTTACGTGGTAAAACGTGTTCAAAAAGCCGCGGTTTTTCTCAAATAAATAATTATTACGGACTTGATAAACGTGGCCCACGTAATCTAAAATAGTCACAATGTAGCCAAAGGTTTGCCCTACATAACAGTCACCAGCGCTCGTCGATAATATCAAGATAGAAATTTTGAAAATTCAGGAAAGTTTTGGCGTTACTGCTGAGGTGCTCAAGAAGCCATGGCGATAACATCGCAAAGACGGGGTAGATCAGGGAACAAATGTAGCTATGAGAAAGAGGATAAAAATGTGAATAGAATGACACCTAAGCCGTTCATGGAATGGTGTTCTGTGAGGTTTGGTGAGCGATGAAAAAAACCGACAAAACTTTCGGGACAACCTAATATTTTAAGGCGTCAATTTCCCAGTTCAGATATATTCGAAAAATTCATTTAGCCATGCAATAGGTAAACAATATTCATCCCATACAGAAGTTATGTATTTAAAAAATCGTTCTGCCGCATGAATTGTTTCCAAGAAAGTCAAAGCAACCAAATTTTAATTTTGAATGCAGCTGTGCGAGATGCTCGTGAAATTTTCACAGATAAGATGGAAGCTTAATTTCACCACTGTTAGAATGTACATATAGAAAGCTTCCCAAAGATGTGCAATATCTTTATTGAAAAGGAAATTTTGAATGATAAGAGCTGTT